AAAAATCAATGAAATCAAAAGCTGGTTGTTTTGAAACCAATAAAAAACATTGGAATTAACTCTGGCAAGACACTGTTCTCAATGTTGATATTTAAGCTATTTATCTTGTCTCTTTCTAAATTTGAAGAAATTATGAAGAAGACACAGGAATATTAGCTATACAGTCTGAGGTCACATTTCTACATATGTCTCTCTGAAAAGAAATAAGGGGCATATCCATCCTTGGGCAAACCACATAGCTCTTCCACACAACAGTTTTCTCAGAAGTAAAATAAATGGATTAGATCATCTCTAAAATCTCTTTGGGCTTTAAAATCCTCTACATGTCAAATAAGAGGTACACATCTACTATTGACAATTTTAAATGACCTGAACAGGATGTCCTGATAAAACCCTGGGAGCCTGAATTAGTACTTTCCTCGAAAATAACCATCTTGACCAAAGCGTAAAAGTTGGTCAATCCACCCATAAATTCATATGTTTAAGTATCAACCTCAGGAGAAAAATCAAAAGAGGATTTCAGTTTAATTTAATGTCAAGCACCAATATTACTAATTACTTAATCATTACTTCTCCCCTGTGAGATGGCCATCTTAGATTCATTACTTCTTACTCAATTTTGTCTTCAATATTACTCCTTCTAGTAATAGAAGTACACATTTTATATACATGTGTGTGGTCATAAGTTATATAAGTTATAGAGGCTGAAAAGGAATGAGGGCCTTTTATAAATTTATTTGTTCAAATGTCCTATTGTGGGCCAGCATTTTTATTGTCTGAGCTATTTAGGAACACTCTGCTGCTACCTTTTAGGAGAAAATTACCTTATATAAATAGATCATAGATAAGACTGAAATCTGCCATGAGTGTACAGACCTGGATAACCAAGTAGACTAGTCTTGCATAGTAATTAATTTTAAAAGCATGGGCTCTAGAGCCAAACTACTTGACTTCTAATGACGATTACGCCATTTACTAGTTGTATTACCTTGGACAAATTATTTAACTTTTTGGACATTTATATGAACATTAAATAAACACAATAAAGATGTAATTATAATCATCCTCTCCTATCTAGTTTGATAAAAAAAAATACCAGAAGCTAAGAAAATTCTATAAAAATTATTAAAACAGCACTTTATATTTTTTATTTCAACTTGTGTATTTGGTGTTATATTAATTTCAGGTGTAAAATATAGTGATCCAATTAATTCCACATATTACTCAGTGCTCAAGACAAGTATACACTTTTTTTTAAGAATTGAAAGTATATTTATTTTTAAAAATTTTTTAAATGTTGTTAGCCAACACATTAGTTTTTGATGTAGTGTTCAACGATTCATTAGTCGCATATAACCCCCAATGCTCATCACAACATGTGCCCTCCTTAATACCCATCACCCCGCAAGTGTACTCTTAATCCCCTTCACCTATTTTACCCATCCTCCTACCCACCTCCCCTCTGGTAACTATCTGTTCTCTGTAATTAAGAGTCAGTTTTTTGGTTTGTCTCCTTTCCCGCCCCCCCACTTTGTCCATTTGTTTTACTTCTTAAATTCCACATGAGTGAAATCATATGGTATTTGTCTTTCTCTGACTTATTTCACTTAGCATTATACTCTTATACCCTCTGGCTCCATCCATGTTGCTGCAAATGGCAAGATTTCATTCTTTTTATGGCTGAATAATACTCCATTGTGCGTGCACACACACACACCCCACCTCTTTTTTTTTTTTAAGATGTTATTTATTTGAGAGAGGGAGAGAGAATGTGCACATGTGTGCATGCACAAGCTGGGGGTGGGGGTGGCAGGGAGGGTGAATGCATGCGGGGAGAAGCAGACTTCCTGCCCAGCAGAGAGGCTAACGAGGGGCTCAATCCCAGAACCCTAGATCATGACCTGAGCCAAAGGCAGATGCTCAACCAACTGAGCCACCCAGGCGCCCTATACTACCTCTTCTTTATCCATTCATCAATCAGTGGACACTTGGGGTACTTCCATAGTTTGGCTATTATAAATAATGCTAAAACAGCACCTTAAACTCATACTTCACTCAATTTACAGCAAAATTATATATTGACATATTCCAGTGGGAGGAGCCATGTTATGAAAACATAAGTATATAAAAGTAGTTTAAAAGACAGTTTTACTATGAAAGTGAATGAGGTTTTATGCTGATTCATACAGTCCAGTGATACTGCAGATCTCCCAAATTCTCCCTAGTTGACCTCAGATAACTTAGAAATATTAAGTAGAGGCCCTATAAGACCTTTCACTGCTGAATATTTTATTTTATTTACATTTTTTTTATTTTATTATGTTATGTTAATCACCATACATTACATCATTAGTTTTTGATGTAGTGTTCCATGATTCATTGTTTGCGTGTAACACCCAGTGCTCCATTCAGTACGTGCCCTCTTTAATACCCATCACCAGGCTAACTCATGCCCCCAACCCCCTCCCCTCTAAAACCCTCGGTTTGTTTCTCAGAGTCCATAGTCTCTCATGGTTCGTCTCCCCCTCCGATTTCTGCTGAATATTTTAAAATTCTGTCAAGCTTTGGGCCTTAATTGTTGCAGAATGTTTTAATTTAATGAAATCCTGGGGTATGATCTCTAATGGATGGGCCTAAAGCCTAACTGAAGTCATGATCTCCAAAAAGGGGAACCACTTAACCCCACCCACTACCCCCCCAATCATGGAACAATTACAGTTCCAGTGACTCACTAAAAGTTACATGTATAGTGTAAAGATGTGGATCACAGTGCAATAGCCACTCAATAATCGTGTGACCTAACCAAAGACCTATTTGCTCAGAGTCTTATTTCCTACATCTGTAGAAGATACCTATGATCGGAGATATTGAGGATTAAAGGAAAGAACGAATAAAATGTCCCTTCCAGGGGCGTCCTGGGTGGCTCAGTTGTTAAGTGTCTGCCTTCGGCTCAGGTCATGATCCCAGGGTCCTGGGATCAAGCCCCGCATCGGGCTCCTGGCTCTGCAGGGAGCCCACTTCTCCCTCTCCTCCCCCCTTGTACCCTCTCACTGTCTCTCCTTCTCTCTCTCTCAAATAAATAAATAAAATGTTTAAAAATAAAATAAAATGTCCCCTCCATCCCCACTAGCACACAGCACTTCCCAATTCATATTCATTTCCCTTTCCTTATGTTTAACTTCACCTTTTGATTTTTTTTTTTGACAAAAACCATCTATAGGTTAGGGTGTGCGATTTCAACATAAATGCACATTTTCAGTGTTCCTTCAGAAGCTTTACTTCAAAGCCACTGTGTAATTAGGATAGGGTAGGAATAATCTTCTGACAGAATTAAATAAGACTGGTACAACTTTTGGAATAAATACCCACTTCAGAGTAAATAAGATCAAGTACCATAATAAACTGATGAGAATCCTATGATCACTGTCATTTTTTGGAAGTAGCTTCAAGAAATACCTAAATCTAGTCAATTTTCATTGATTCAAACATCATTATTCAATAATATTCAACAGATTAACTCCACTATAATGTGGAAATGTATTCAACAACTAATTTATTCTGGGCCTATTTGCAGGAATAGTTTTCCTTAAAATTAAATATCTATAGGTACAATATAATTTTCTTGAAGGTGGTTATTTTCATTTAAAAACCTACTTCTAACTTTCTGAGCCAAAGCATTCTCTTTCATGTGCAGAACTCGGTTTTAACCAAGTATTTGACAGTTGTACAAATCCAGAGCCACCCACAACTGGGGAAGTCTGGATTGTGTCACTTGCAAGTGAGTGGGTGGTACAACTTCTTTTCATTTCATACTATTAGTATCAATCTACCTCACGTGGCTCTTTTTTTTAAAGTGTATATAACAAGGGTCCTTTAGAGAGCTGTGGCCTGGAGACTAGAACTAGATCATTCCGGGATACCAAGGGATTGCTTTTACAAACACCACTTACCATTTGGTCCTAAGTTGTCATGAAGAACTGGTATAAAGAGCAGACACACACAGAAGCGGAAGACTAGGATAACCCTAAAATAGCTGCACACTCAAAGCCTATGAACAATTAACTTCAGGCAGAGGAACCAATCACTATCACAAACACAGAAGGAGCCCTCAAACAGTGTTTTGAACACAACCAATTTCCTTCGGTCTTAACGGCCACCTATTCAAATCAATATCATAAATCCTTGAAGTGTACTGCGGTGTTACTCCTTTCTTATCCCAGGGAACCTGGTGAGGAACTGAACGGGCAGTAACGAAAATAAAACAATACCTTAAAATCTGAGGATGAAAAAAATATACACCTCCATAATAAATAGTGAAGAAAAAAAGAGAATCGAGCTATATCTCATCTCACTCATTCTTTCGGCCTTAACATAACATTTTGTATAAGTTACTGGATTCAGACGTAAAAGAAATAAACTTGAAAATGGGTCAGTGCCACCAAAAATCAGAAGCGGGCGCTCATCTGTCTTCTATGGCTAACGAAAAGACCACCTGCCTTCCCCCACCCACCAGCCAGCTCTTCAGGTAACACGCTTTTCTTCTCGCGCTGTTGAGGCAATCTAGGAGGAACAGATTTCTTTATTTTAAAACATTAACAAAAGCAAAGAATGCAACACACACACACACACACACACACACACACACACACACACACACAACTTCTACGAAGCTCGGCTCTTCCGTTCGAGGAAAACCCGTCTCAGAGCATTCCACCTCAGGAGAACGAGACCCCCCGCGGGGGACCGCAGACCCCAGGACGCTATCACCGCCTCGCTCTGCCCGGACCTCGGTCGGAGCAGTGCGGCTCAGCGCGCAGGGTCGCGCACGCCCAAAGGCCGCACCGCGCCGCACCGCACCACCGTGACAAAGCCACGAGCGCGGCGGCCTGCTTCCCCCCGGGCCTGGGCCGGACCCCCGCGGCCCCGCAAGGGCAGGCGCAGGCCCGCGGGGCGCAGAGGCCCGGCCTTCCGCCCGGTCCCGGCCCCCGCCTGGTACTCACACACGCACAGCTCCACCACGTACGCGTAGTAGGACCAGACGACCACGAAGGTGATGAAGAGCACCGGCACCCAGCCCACGCTGCGCTGGCAGCAGCGCCAGAACGTCCACGGCGCCATGTTCCGCTGGCGGCTGCTGCACCCAGCGCCCCACTGTAGAGCGGAGCGCCAAGCCCCCGGCGGCGGCGGCGGCGGCGGCGGCGGCGGCGGCGACTCGGGCGCTCCGGGCCGCTCCTAGCCCAGGTGCCCCGCCTCCGAGACAGAGCCCGCCGAAGAGAAGATGGGAGTCCCCTTCACGACTCCTCCCCTCGCCGCGCCCGGCCAGGTCCCGCCCCGGCCCTGCATCCCACCGCCCCCCTCGCCCCCCTCCCCGCGCCCACGCCCGGCCCGCCTCCGCCCGCCTCCGCCCGCCTCCGCCCGCGCCTCCGGGGGCCCGGCCCGAGCGTGGGGGCGGGGATTCCGTTGGGGACGGCCCTTGGGGCGTGGCAGAATGGCCCAGTGGGAGGAGGAGGTTGGGGGAGGAGAGGAGGCAGCTGCTGCAAACGATTCTTTGACTGATTCGTGGGCCTTGGCCTCTCCGTACAGAACTTGCTCTCCTGGGGTCCTTCGGCTTCTAACCAGTTGGGGCCCATTTTCAAACAGGACCAGACCGTGCTCCACCCAACGTGCGGGCAAGGAATGTATATTGTTATAAGCTCCTCCAGTGCTTCCGATGTGCATCTCAGGTTACGAACCCCTGTACTTTGAAGTAATTTGCTCCATGTTTCAGGTGGAACTGACAGATGAAAACCCCTTTCTGAGCGTTCCTCCCCAGGGGAAGGAGGCGCCTGGCGGACCCCAGGACGCTATCATTTTTTGAAGATGGAACTAGTAGATGTCTGTGATTTAGGATGGAAGCCACGTGGTGTCAGTTTGATTTGAAACCCAGAAGGGGAGCAACAACCCTCCCCCTGTCCCCCAAACGACTACTGAAATTTCGAGAGCTTATTTACAAATGGGGAATCTTGCTAAATAATGCCCATAGTCATAACAACCTAGAAGCATCACTGTGAAGACATCATAATACAAGATCAGAAGCATTTCAAGTAATTCCAAGCCGCATTTCCAGTTACTATCATGTCTATTCTGGTTAGACTAAAAGATTTTAGTTAGCTACTGCTCACTAAGGTCTCCATGAAGCAGATTTCCCCCTTTTATAGTGTGATACAAAGGTAATGAAAGCAAATAATATTTAACCACAGCACACTAGTGTTAGAAATAATAAAGGATGTGTGAAATATTTTGTCCTCCCAGATTTTGTATCTTCAAAGTCATGTTAGTGGCAAAATTGACAGTAGGTTAAAGGCATTAAGGTGGATCAATTTCTGCTTGTTTTCCAGAGAGGCTCTTAGGAGGGTTAGGCTTCAGGCTGGAATTTGGATTGACATGAAGACCATAACTTAAAGCCTTTTCCCTTCCTGCCATCTATGTATATAAAAATCATCCTACTAAAGTTCAGCACAAATGCCATGTCTTCCAAAAGCCATTCTTAATCTGGAAATGATTCATTTCTGTTGTGCCACTTTGCTTATAATACCTGTATAAGTTTCCTAGGGCTGCCATAACAAAGTACCACAAACTGATGGCTAACACAAGAGAAATTTATTGTCTCACGGTTTCGAAGGTTAGAAGTCCTAAATTAAGGTGACAGCAGAGCTGTACTCCCTCTGAAAACTAGAGGGGCTAATTCTTGCCCATTTCCTAGCTTCAGGTAGTAGCCGTCAGTCCTCAGCATTCCTTGGCTTGCAGCTAGATCTCTCCAATCTCAGCCTCTATTGTCACATGATGTTTTCTCTTCCTGTGTCTGTAACTCTATGTCTTTTCTTTATTGGATTAAGTGTCCACTCTACGCCAGTATTACCTCATCTTAAACTAATTGCATCTGCAAGCATCCTATTTGCAAATAAGGTCCCATTCTAAAGCACTGGGGGTTAGGACTTCAACATGTCTTTTGGGAATGCAATCCAGCCCACAACACACATATTTTTTTATGGTATTTGTAAATGTCACCTTGCCTACTACCTTGTGAGATCCTTGAAAGTAGAAGGTATTTTACACATCCTGTTTTCTCTACAGGGCCTTGAAATCGGAAATATTCAGTAATTATTTCTTGAATGGACATTTGAAGGATTCTGCTGTGATCTAGCTATTCTTCCTAACTTTTGAAGTCACCAACCAGATCACATTAGTTTTTGATTTCTAAAAATTTGTCACATCTTCTAAGAAGGTATTAATTCTATATGAGATCTAGAGAATATTTCTGATCAATTTTCTTGTCCTGAGATCAATCCAGTAAGGATGCACATTTTCAGGAAGGTAGTAACATTTTCATTCTTTTGAGAATGTTTCTTTTTTTTTAATGTCCTTTTTTATTTTTATTTTTTATTTATGAGAATGATTCTATCTTAAATGACTAGACATGAGTTAATGTTCCTTTGCTTATAATCAATAAGAGGCAGCAACTTAAATTCCTTCTTTCCTTGTCCATGTTGGGCTGGTGATTTTACACCATGTCTACTACCGGTTGTGACAACGGAGTATCATTTAAAGACTTTAAGCAGGGTAGTGTTGTGAGTGGAATTACATTTTATAACAACCCCCCTGGCCTTAGTGGGAAGAATGGATTGGAGGAAAGAAAGACTAGAGGCAGAGAAACCAATTAGGATGCTGTTGCAGTCATACAAGCAAGAGGTATGGTGGCCTGAACTTGGGTGTGGCAGTGAAGAAAGTGATAAAAAAGCTATTTAGGTCTTCTGATCAACTTTGACACACCCAACTCTGCTCCAGAAACAGAGCAATAAGAGATATAAATCCCAAAATAGAAAACCAAGTAGACAAACTGAGACTCAAACCTCCATTCCCAACTTCTATCCTCCCTAGCCCTCAACAAAGGAAGCAGAATAAAGTGCTCAACCCCTAGGATCATGGCTTTTAACAGAGACTGGAGGCCACACTGCCACTCCCTGACCAGAAAGTAGACCAAACAGCCAACTGGCCTTGTGACTCAATATATGCTGTCTCTATTATTACCACCAGCCAGGAACATCAAAATGCCATTTCATTTTTCATTTTTAAATTATTTATTTTTTTAAGATTTTATTTATTTGGGGTGCCTGGGTGGCTCAGTTGGTTAGGCAACGGCCTTCGGCTCAGGTTGTGATCCTGGAGTCCTGGGATCAGGTCCCGCATTGGGCTCCCTGCTCAGCGGAGAGTCTGCTTCTCCCTCTGACCCTCCCCCCTCATGCTCTCTCTCTCATCCTCTCTCTCTTAAATAAATAAAATCTTTAAAAAATTAAAAAAAAGATTTTGTTTATTTAACAGAGAGAGAGAAAGAGAGCACAAGCAGGGGGAGCAGTAAACAGAGGGAGAAGCAGGCTCCCTGCTGAGCAAAGAGCCAGATGCAGGGCTTGATCCCAGGACCCTGGGATCATGACCTGAGCCGAAGGCAGGTGCTTAATGACTGAGCCACCCAGGGGCCCCGCAAAATGTCATTTTAAATTTTAGTTTTGAACTAAAAGCTGGAGAAGAATAAAGGCAGCTTTAAGCATCTATGAAACCATCGGACAGTTTATGGAAACCAGGTAGATACGGAAAGAGTGAAGAAGAAAAAAACGTAAACTCACAAATTCAGAATCAACAATGCCAAAACACAAAGAAATCTAATACTTAGAAAGAACACAAACAAAAACAATCAACTTGAATTCACTCAAAATAAAATTAGTTTTATGAAGTGGTCTTAAAAAAACTTCTCAAACAGTATATGGCATGCCCAACTTCTATCTAAATAAAATGAGAAATTGTGAAATACACAAAATAATAAACAAAAGTGGAAAAAGAGCAGATGGATTTGAAAAATACCCATTTAGGAATCTTCGAAATAATAAAATATTCTTCTCAAATTAAAAACTCAATAGATAAAATAAATGTAATCTGGATACCAGAGAAGGGGGGCTTAGCCAGTTGGAAGACAGTGCTGAATAATTCATGCAAAACACAACAGAGACAGTTTTTTTAATATGAAAAACACATGGAAAAACACATATATTTGCAGGCTTCAACATAAATTTCTATTAAAAGTTCCAGAAGAGACTGAGAAGAATATTAAAGAAACAAGTGTTGAAGAGATTAATTTCAGAATTGAAGACATAAGTCCTTATGGTAAAGGGTCACTTGAATATCAACCAGGATAAATAATGATAAATCTTTCCCTAGACACAGAGTAGTGAAACTATTGAACATTTAGGATAAAGAGAAAACTCTTCAGTATTCCAGGCTTAAAAGTCAAATTACCAAAGGAACACTAATTAGACAGACAGCTGACTTCTCATCAGCGATAACGGATGCCAGAAGACAATGAAGTAATATTTTCAAAGTGCTGAGGGAAAATAATATCCTTAAATTTTATAGCCAGAGATATGATCACTTAAGAGTAAAGACAAATTGGGGTGTCTGGGTGGCTTAGTCAATTAAGCATCTGCCTTCAGCTCAGGTCATGATCCCAGGGTCCTGGGATCAAACCCCACATCTGGCTCCCTACTCTGTGGGGAGCCTGCTTCTCCCTCTCCCTCTGCATGCCATTCCCCCTGCTTGTGCTTGCTCTCTCTCTCTCTCTCTCTCTCTGTCAAATAAATAAAATCTTAAAAAAAAAGAGTAAAGACAAATTGAAAAGGCGCAAATATTTGCAAATCATATATCTGATAAGAGATCGATATAAAGAATATATAAAGAACCCCTACAACTCAACAACAACAAAACAAAACAATTCCATTAAAAAGTGGGCAAAGGATTTGAACAGATATTTCTCCAAACAGATACATGCAAATGACTAAGATGCTCAACAGAACTAATCATTTGGAAAATGCAAAACTAAACAAAAATGAGATACCATTTTACATCCATTAAGATGGCTATTATCAAACAAACAATAACAACAACAAAAGCAGAAAATAACAAATTTTGAGGTTATGAGGAAATTTGGAACCCTTGTGTGTTGCTGGTGGGAATATAAAATTGTGTAGCTGCTGTGGAAAACATGGTAATCCCTCAGAAAATTAACCACAGAATTATCATATGATCTACTTCTGGTATATAGCCCAGAGAAATGAAAGCAGGGACTCAGATATTTGTACACACATGTTCATAGCAGCATTATTCACAGTTGTCGAAAGGTGGAAATGAAGACACCATCCAAACATCCATCTTATCAGTTCCGAACATTAGAGGTCATATCA